TGAACTATTGCTAGAGGACTGTTCAGTTGAGCTGAAGATTGCCCCAAAACCTAAAAAGGTTCAGTAAGTGCTGTTGTAACCATTTCCTTAAAGAACAACACTGATGTGTGTAAAAGGAGCAAGGGGTGTATGTGTGCTCTGAAAGATCATTGATAGGTCACATAATATACCTGATCGGTGCACTCTACACTTCCTGTAACCTTACCTTTTGTGGATCTTCCTGTTCAATCACTCTGTTGACAAACGTGACTATAGGACTGGCATGGCTTTCTACTCAGGGCAAGCCCGAGGCCTTTTCAGGGACCCTTCCAAGAGCTTTGGGTGTGTATTAGGGTGTTCCAGCAGCAGCACTGGACAGCTGGCAAATTGCTTTGCACTGGACAGCTGGGTACATACATACTGGGTATGTATTAGGGTGTTCCAGCAGCAGCACTGGACAGCTGGCAAATCTTAGCTTAGCCATGACAGACCAACTAAAGACAAAGAGCCTATATCTGTACAACCAGCAACCCCTCCCCGATCCCCACATCATAACCTCTTCCACATAAAAAAGCAGCCAGACTCATTTTATTAGGGGGGGTATTCCCACAGAAATCTATCACCCTGATCAAGAAAAGGAGATCCATGCATGTAAGCATCCTTCTGTATCTGTTAGGAGCACATCTCTGGCTTTGCCATGGAAATAGAGCTGAACATCTATATCTGGCCCTTGCTGTTAGACAGGGTTAGTTGTCCATGACTACCAGGCCTTACAGAGATGCCAGGACCAATCCTCTGTCCATACTGCTGACAGGTGTTCCTTTTGCTCTCGTAAGTGGTGTGGATAGTTTCTGTCCTAGCTACAAAACAAAACAACCCCTCCCCATGAATTCAATGCTACGTTATTATCCCTACTTTTTGTCTCACATAGGCTTGCACTCCATATACCAGAAAGAATGGAAGATCACATTTTGTGAATACACTGGGCATTTTGAATCACTTTGTTTTCAACAGATTCTGTTAACAAAAAAAGCACCCTGCCACAGTATACAGACATACATGGAAACATGGTTATCTTCTTTAATGTTGTCTTAGAATAATAACACCTGTTTCCCCCATTTGAATGGATCCAGAGTGAAAAACTACAATGAAAACTAGAAACTTCAAGATCCCATTGGCTTGCTACTGGAGACCTTTCTGTAGATCGTGTTTTCTTCTAGAGCTGCTGCTTACTATATTGCTTGTCATTATTTGGAAGCAAAGCAAAGAGCAATGCCAATGTCCAGGAAAAGAGAAAACTGGATTTCAGGTGGGTAACTCCAAGTGGACACTGTTCCCCACACAGTCATTTGCACTTCACAGAAACTATATTTAGCAACAACTATATTAAGCATTCAAAACAAATGCAATATGCACTGCAGGTTTTTTGACTGAGGAATGTCTATGGGAAGGGCAATTTAAATGTTGCAAAATTCAGAAAATGACAAAACGTTATAGGATAGGGTACATGCTGATAATGGTAAAAACAATACTGTTTTATGTTCAAGGATGCTCAAGGATTCAACCTGGAAAATGTTATACGGAAGATGCCACGAAATCCAGATTTCAGTGTTGTAGCAAATGTGATGGGTCCTTTACCTATTCCATATAAATATCTCTTGGGATATCCTCCAGTTAAAAAAAGTAAGTGCAGGCTATTATGACTACAGCAACATGTATATGAAACACAGTAATCTAAATGAAAAAGCAACTGATCCAGCGGCTATGCTGCAAGCTATCTATCTGCTTAAGTTGAAATACATGAACTAACCCTTTTTTCCCTTTAAACCATTTTCCATATGTTTTATTTTTTGAACGCTTGTTTGCCCAACAAGTCCTAAACAGTTCAACAGGCCTTATTATACAGTTTTTGATTACTGAAATGTATGCCATAAAAGTAGGTTTGCCATTTCCTGCCTGCAGCAGGTAAACCCCTGGCCTCAGGCCCAATCCTCCACTCCGGAGAAATGGAAGAACTGGAGTGATGTTGCGCCTTTCCCAAACTCTGCCCTCCCCTGCACTGCCCTCAAAATCTCCTGGCATTTGCCAAGGCAGTGCTGGCAAGCCTAAACACAAAACTCAGGTGAAATGGCATTAGTTGGAAACTGTGGAGCAGAGCTTGCTCCTTAAGATGAGAGTGAGAGTGAGAGGAAGAAGCCCTTTCCCCAATTCCCTCTTCTTATTGCAACCCATCTCCCCATTGTGTGTGGCAGTTTGCTCAGGAAGAGCCTGAATTCTCAGCAGAGGCTTTGCAGAGCACAGCAGGCAGGGGAAGGGGGATGGGACCACCTGCAGACACCCTCCTTTGTGAAGATTCACACAGAAGACTGTCTAAAATATCCAAGTTGCTCCACTGGAGTAAAGATACAAGAACTCCGTACCTTGCCTGTATGCTTGCTTCACAGGACCACTTCAGATTTGGAAAACAAATTTTGCTCTCCCTCCTAGTCCCAGTCCAAATCGGGCGCCTTGTAGTTTTAAAAGAAAGCAGATGCTTGGGCACTCTGGAGATGGAGACTTGCAGCATCACCTGTTGTTTGGTCCTTACAAGCTCCCTTCATACCTGCAAGCAGTCATGCTGGTGGCCTCTCACAATCCAGACATGAGTGTTGTAAGCGGCAGGCAGGGGGCCAGTTCTGCGTGGGGTTCGGTAGGGCTTTAACTGCTGCTGAAACCCCTTGACGATGAGGGCTTGCACCAGACCAGCATGGAGTGGATCACATAAGAACATAAGAGACGCCAATGTTGGATCAGGCCAAAGGCCCATCTAGTCCAACACTCTGTCACACAGTGGCCAAAAATACCAGGTGCCACCAGGAGGTCCACCATTGGGGCCAGGACATTAGAAGCCCTCCCACAAGACCGTGTATGAGAGCTGGTGCAGCATAACAAATATGATCAGAACTAGGAGTCTCTGTCTTGAATTTTACCTTTCCTACAAAGTCAAGTCAAGTCATTCTCTTTTATCCTAAGCATTACTGAAATAATGCATGTGAAGGGCTTTGGTCACGTGGTAAGTATTTGAGGGGTGCGAAGTATTACTAGTCAAGTCAAGTCAAGTCAGCTTTTATTGGCATATATCAGTAGAACAAAGTCATTATAAAAGTATACAAGTAGGACACTGTATTACAAATACATTGAATAAAATAATAGGTTACAACTGTACTTTTTCTTGGCGGATTGAAGGACCTTAGCCACTTTCTCAGTTACTTCAATGGAGGAATCATTCAAAAGTTTGTAAACTTTATGGGAATCTGAAAAACCCATCATGTTGGCCAATGTGGAGTTTAGATATTTCGAGCGTATATTTACATAAAAGTGACATCGCAACAAAACATGTAAGACCGTCTCAACACATCCAGATTCACGAGGGCAATGTCTAGTGCATATGCTGTTTTATTGAATCTGTCATATAGAATGGCAGATGGCATGGCATTGCATCTGGCTAAAGAGAAAGCTCTGCATAGTTGTGGCGCTTGTAGGGAGGATAAATATGAAGCCACCCTACCTACAGTGAGGGGCACCTCAAAGCTCAGAGGAGAGCAGGTTTTGTTGGCGAGACTCTGTAACTCCTGACGCTCAATATCCAACATCCCCTGTTTGATCAACTGGAATGCACCCGCTGATGGGAGCATAGTCAGTGAATCCAAAAATATACCCATGGCCTTATTTTTTTTTCTTTTGCCTCTTCTAGAATTCTTGACCATTGGAATCTCTGCTGTCCAGAGAGAGAGAGAACATTATTTGCTGAGGACACTAGAGTCCATTTACAACCACTGCAAGCCAGAAGAATTAAACCTGATAACAGTTGTTATATACCTAGCCAATAATGATTCTAAATTAAATGAGCAAAGTGCCAAGGAAATTGAGGCTCAGTTTGGTGAGCATGTGAATGAAGGGCAACTGCTTGTTATAGAAAGCTCTTTAACTGGTTATCCCCCTTTAAGTCACATGAAAGAGGTTTTCTTTAATACTCAGGGGAAAGCTCTGTATCGATCCAAACAAAACGTGGACTACGCTTATTTACTTAACTTTTGTGCCGATCTGTCTTGGTATTATTTGATGCTAGAAGATGATATAGTCTGCGCCAACAGTTTTGTATTGACTATACAAAATTATGTCAAAAATGAGGTGAAATCTTGGACCACTGTATCATTTTCAAGTCTGGGCTACATAGGAAAACTCTATCATAGTTCAGATCTTATTAAACTGGCCCGGTTCCTCTTGATGTTCTATGATCAGATGCCTGGGCACTGGCTTCTTGAACTTTTCCATCAATCCCAGAATCAAAAAGATCTTATAGTCTTCAAGCCTTCTCTTTTCCAGCATACAGGTAGGGTTTCTTCATTTCATACTGTGGAATTCGAATTGCAAGACCCAGAGTTTCAAGAAGACAATCAAGATTTTGGAGACTTCCCTACTGCTTCATGTCTCACAAACATACTTGTATTTGCAGATTATGTACCAGAGAAAGTGTGTCCCCCTGCAAAAGGGGTTTTTTGGGGTATGAACATTACATCACAGAGTTTCTTTACTATTGTTTTTGCAACCCCAATTGTTCCTCAGAAGATCCAGATTTACACAGGGTCAGCTGAATTTAACCAGGACATTCTCCACTATGGTTATGTAGAAACTGGTAGATTCAAAATCCACACCCATGATGGTGTAACATGTTTGCTTTTTGACCGAATTGGGGACTTTAACAATGGGCTCTTTGAAATGAAAGACATCAATAACATGGATGATATAGATTGCCTTCGAATACAAGCCACAGCTTCACAAAAGCAATGGCTACAAATAAGGAGAATTAGTATTTGGGTGAAGAATAAGTAATATTCACACTCTGGTATACTGCGCTCACTAGTTTGATGTTACAAAGAGCCACGGTAAAGATTGCTGCCTATGTCTATATCTCTGGTCTTCATTTCCTGTAACAAAGTTTCTCTTTAATTAAAAAGTGGATTAAAAAGCAACAAATTAACCATTTGTTCTTCGTGCAATTATGCTTCTGAATGCTTTTACATAAGAAAGTACCTATTAAGAAACCTGTCTAGATGCATAACTTGGTTATAGGAGATGATCTGGAAGCACCTGATGCAGCAGCTTTGTTGACTAAAGGTAAAGGGTTCCCTTGCTCGAAAGCCAGTCGAATCCGACTCTAGGGTTGCGGTGCTCATCTTCGTTTCAAAGCCGAAGAGCCAGCGCTGTCTGAAGACGTTTCCGTGGTCATGTGGCCGGCATGACTAAGCACCAAGGCGCACGGAACGCTGTTACCTTCCCACCGAAGTGGTACCTATTTATCTACTTGCAATTTCTTGCTTTCGAACTGCTAGGTTGGCAGGAGCTGGAACCGGAGACGGGAGCTCACTCCGTCATGCGGCAACCCAGGTCTCGAACCGCTGAACTACTGACCTTCCACAGCCTGCAGTTCAGCGTCTTAACCACTTGAGCCACCGCATACTAGTGATAGATTAAAGATCAGGGCCAGACCGGGACACTGCAGCATTCATTCCCTTGTGACGTATCGTGCAAGAAAGGTGCAGAAGGTGTAGTGATGAAATGAAAAAATTAAAACCTTCATTCAAATAATCCAAAGTGACTTGTAAGAAACAAATTGGGCCGTATGACTGAAGGACCTCATATCCCATTCTAACAGTTACAAACTAAAAAGGCTTGGGAAATTATTAGATTGCTCTCTCTAGTTGCTGGACTGTCAGTGGATCCACTTGGCTGGTGAATAAGGTGGTGCAGTATAGTGGGAAGGGAATGATGAGGAATGAACGGGATACATCCTGCACGCCTCCGGAGTTCTTGCAGTTTTGAAGACTTTCTGTTTCCTTTTTCTTCCACAGTCCACTAGAGGGCAGCAAATCTGCACCAGTTGACTCCCAGAATGACCTGTTTTTCTGCTGCTCTAATAACTGCATTTGGGGATAATGTATTTTTGATGTGCAATTCGCGGTTATTAACAATAATAGAAAATAAAACGACAGGATGGGGGCAAAGTGATTGTGTACAAGCTGGCCTGAATGAAGAGCCTATTGTTTACACGCAATGTATTATGTAAGCTTTAAAATACATTTTGACACATGACATATGCAACATAGAGATTTCCATCAATGAAGATAACAAGGGCAATACACAATTCACAGTTGTGTCCTTTAATCAGAACCACCAACTGGAATCTTTAAAAAAAAACAGCACAACATTGCAATTACAGCAGGCACTTGGCCCTCTCTTCAGCAGTGAATTATGGCTGTTACCTCACAGCCTGCTGCCTGCTTGCCATGAAGGAAGGGAAACTTTTTCCAAAGGTGGCTTCTCTCAACTCAGTGGGGCTGGCAAGCAGAACTCTAGCCGTGCTTGGGGCGCGGCTGTGGCTCAGTGGTAGAACAACCACTTTGCGTGAAGAAGGTCCCAGGTTCAAGCCCCAATTAAAAGGATCAGGGTTCATTTTTGGGCAGGAACGCACAGGAACGGAGTTCTGGCTGGCTCCCGAGTTGGCCACGCCCATCAGGAACTCATTAGCATAACAGGCCACACCCAACAGCAGGAAATCATTAGGATTGGCTACATTAGGGGTGTGTGGCCTAACATGCAAAGGAGTTCCTGCTCCAAAAAAAGGCCCTGGGTTTTGACAACAAACAAGGTAAACAGAATAAGAAGCAAAAGGTGGGTGTGGCTGGATGACCACACTTCTGGTAACACGTGGGGGTGTGGCTTCATATGCCAATGAGCTGTGCTGTCATGGGTGTGGCCTAATATGCTAATGAGTTCCTGCTGTTGGGTGTGGCCTATTATGCTAATGAGTTCCTGCTGGGTTTTTTCTACAAAAAAAGCCCTGAAAAGGATCAAAAAGCAGGTGACATGAAAAACGTCTATGTGAGACCTCAGAGACCTGCTGTCGAAGTCGGTAACAATGGCCTTGTGAGACCAGTGGTCTGACTCAGTAGAGGACTGCTTCTGAGCTAGTAAAATAAGGTAATAAACGACTGAATCCTTCAGTTTCACGGAGAGCTGTATGAGCCATGCATAAGAATGTACTTCCTGAAACAGACCAAGGGCCAACTGGTCCAGTATTCTGATTCCAACAATGGCCAGCCAGGTTTCTTGGGAGACTCAGAGGCAGGTTATAATTCTTATTTTACGGACTTTGTACCCCACCTTTCTGCCTTCAAAAGGGCCACCAAAGCAGTTAACAGATTAAAATATATGTAATAAAATCACAATTTAAAACCATTAAGACCAACAAAAACCACATCATTAAAACAATTAAAACCAGAGCTAAATAGCATACAAAACACAGAGGGAATAATTAAAACATTGGACAAGAAGCAGGGATACATTCTTCTCCTTACCAAGCCCACCAATGTCCAAATCTTCTTCCAAAGACCTGGGTGGTATAGGTAAGCCTATTGAATCAAGATGTTCCTGCAATCTTTTCCTGTAAACAATACAATTTATTTAAAAGCTTTTGTCCCAATAGAGGTTGCTTCTTGGGATCAGAGGATTCAATTGATATATGTATTTGGAGTGAATCATTTTACAGCCATGGCTAGAAATTAGACCCATGGGTAAGCCATTTTGGAGCAGCAATATGAATTTGTACAGTCAAACTCCTTTTCTCAACATGGCCTGCCAACGAAAGCCACCTCAGTGCTCATTCAGCAGACAAAGCAATACACTAGTATGTGCATGAGGTACATCAGCAATATTCCTCTTGGACGGCAATTTAACGTGGTTCAGGCCTGCGGCAGAATGCTGAGCTAAATTTCATGGCATTTCATTGTAGTAACATTACAAGTCCTCCCCAGGGCGAAGCAAACAGATCTTTGCTACACACCTATATCCTCTTATTTGTGAAGAGGATTTGTTTGTACCAGTAAAGTGCTCACATTGCTTTGAAAATGTATCCTTTAATACAGTAACAGAAGGGGTAGATTACAAGCATTTCTTGCAGAATGCCAGAGGCTCTGGAAACACTGTATTCAGCATTTTATAAAACGATCCGTCTTCAAAGGTAATTTCCAGCACTGATGGAAAAGGAAGAAAAAAACACAGTAATGCTAATGGGAGTCTGAATCAATGCCTGATTCTATAACATGTAGATATTTACTTTTCAACTTCCTCACTTAGGCGTTGTCTTCCTTCCTCAATTCTCTCCAGACAATCCAAGCCCTTGTTTCAAACACACCAGGCTTCCTGTTGACCAGATCCAACATGATGGCCAGTTCCTACGAACCCTGGCATTGAGGCAGTAGGTCCCAGAATCAGGCATGCAAGTGCCAAAGTAAGGGTACAATTTGTCCCCTCAGGCAGGTGAAGGGACTCTGAGGCACAGCTATGTGCATACATTCCACAGTAGGACATAAGAGGATTGGTTCGACCAGGGCCTTCTAGCTGAGAACAGTCACTGCACTACCCATCAGTTCCTGTGACAACTGGGACGTGTTCTCTTCAGTCAAGCTCTCGCACTTAGGAAGAAAAACACTGTGGAGCTCAAGTTCTTCCACAATTTCTCTGTTAAAAGTTGGCCTGATAAAAGATAGCAGCCCCCCTATTTTGTAGAAAGGTTTACTTCTATCAACATGGCTACTCATAACAAGCCAATCCGTGGGCAAAGCACAGCTGCCCAGACCCCTCTATAAGGCCTCTACTTATGCCACCCCCATCACTACCACTGTCCAAAATCACTGTTGCAGCTTGGCTGCATGGTTCCAGGCACAGCCTGATGCACACAAGACGGCCATCAAATATTGTTGGCCCAGTTTCCTTCCAACTCCTTCCCAGAAGGCATTTTTACAAACACCTTGTGCTGAATAACTGAACGATTATTCCTGTGAATGTGTTAATGATCAGATGTGAATCCTTCCAAGGTACCATGGCCTTGAAGGTTGTGCCATATCGCTCCGAGCAGCTGAACCCCCAGTTGAACCCATGGCAAGGGCCCAGAAAACTATTATGTTCAAGGCCTTAGTCATTAAAAGGTAATTATGGAATGTTCAATAAATTTTTTTGTTTTGAATTGACTGTTATGTATAAATACATTTATGTGTAATGCGTTATAATAAATACATAAATACACTTTGCTTCAGGGATCTCCTTCTAGCTAAACTGTAGGACAGACTCTCACCCTCTTCTCATCTTTGCCTTTCTTATTCAGTTTATCACTTGATTTTGGCAGTAAGGAAGCTGCATTGCCAATGGTTGAAATGTTTCAAATATATTTATGTCCCAAATTTGGGGGAAAGCATTGTGACTTATATGTCATAACAATTAAACACATGGAATGGCTTATTCACAGTAACATATGTGATGATCTCACATGTCTTTTGAAATACATCATCCATACACTCCAATCAGCTCCATCCATATTAATCACTGAGGAAGCTGCTTCACACCACAGGTGTCTTATGTGCATTTGAATCCCCATTCAGGAAATAGATTGCTGATTCAGGATGACCAAAGGCAAGCTCACGTGACGTTGTAAGGTTTTCACAACTTACTCCAGCATGCTTAGACTTATTTCCATTTGCAGCTAAGTCCTGCTAAAAGTGATAGAATGTGACTTACACATAACTAGTAGTGAGCATTAGTTCACTGAACTAAAAATGTACAATATATTTTCAAAGAGCAGTAGATATCAATGGCTTATTCACAGTAACATATGTGATGCTACATGTCTTTTATGTACAAGAATCCCCATTAATTTCAATTGAAATACATCATCCATACGCTCCAATCAGCTCCATCCATATTAATCACTGAGGAAGCTGCTTCACACCACAGGTGTCTTATGTGCATTTGAATCCCCATTCAGGAAATAGATTGCT